ACCATCGAACGGTTGGACGGGCGGACAGGCAGGCAGGCAGGCAGACGACCATCCAACCACATGGCAATAAAACAGCACTTAGAAATACACACAGACAGGAAGGACACAGGGCACAGTATTTGGGCGGGGAGACAGTGGCGTCTGGCCGACCGAAAGAGTCGGAGAGTCGAACGGTGCACCGGGGAATACTTTGCCAAATTGCACAATCTACTCGGTCTTCGGTTACCACCCCCCCCCATCCTAGACTATTTGTGGCCAGACTTCCAGTCCATCCAGTCCATTCCCCTATACCTATTTCAGACTCCTTGCCCCAGCCCCAACTCCAGGCTAGACTGGTCTGGGAGCTGCCTGGGCTTGGCCACTCATTTGACTACCCTCTCCTATGTCGCATATCTGTGGGGAGTATCTGGGAATTGCCTGCCCGCTTAGAGCCAGAAAGAGACGAATTCTCGGACCACAGATCTCTAGTGGCAGATACTTTCGGCAATTCGATAGCCAACCGAAATGAATGAGCCAATTATGCGGGAGGGGATTCTATATCAATATTTTTGAATTGGCTGTCAACTTTTATTTCTGTTCATATAATTTTATGGATTATTAGCAGGCTACGTCTCGGAAGGGGAAATCCTCTCTCATACTCACAATCTGCTCCCATAGCCCCATCGTCTTTCAAGCTGTAAATAAGATTACCCCAAGGGAAAGTCCCCTGCGATTAATAGTCCAATATTATTGAAGGACAATTGAAATTATGTTTATTTATTTAAGCTCCTAAACACTCAACCTCATTTGCGTACATACATATGTACATACATACATATACATACATATATGTACATACATATATAACTATTACAAAATAAGAAAACATTGCAAACAGACGCACAGCAAAAGACATTCCCGAGAGCAAACAGCCATTTACATACACTTATTAGTGGGAGAGCAAAATGCCTACACTGATTTCATCTCTTATCCCACTCTTTGATGCCAAACCACTCTCTTTTGGAGTAGGAGAGGGAGAACATAAATAGCAGAACCAACTGTCCAAAGTCCAATGAGAGAGCATAAGAACAAGAGCACGGAAGGTGACTTAGGAGAGCAAGAAAGGTTACAGAAGAGAGCATGGAATGTGCCAGAAACTAAGCCTCCTACGCATTAAAATTTGCACCGCTCTCACAGTTCATTTTTCACCCGGTCAAGGCGCGCGTTCCTAAAGTCAGCTCCGCGTTTCGGGTCGCGAAAGTCGGGAAATGGATTAAAAATCCTACGGGTAAACGGTCGCGCAGTTGTGTAGTGATGTAGTGCAGTGTAGTGCAGTGATTAAAAACGAAAAATGGCTAAAAGAAGTGTTTTATTGCAAGAAAAGTTCCTGATCAAGTGCAGCGGCGTGCCGCCGGCAAATGGCATACCAGAGTCAGAGCGGCGAAGTCAAATTATGGAAAGAAGTGAAAGTGAAGTGTTAAAAGTGTATTATGCATTTGATGTCCAACATATAACCTTTTTTTTTCCATTTCGTTTTTTTTTTCGGTCACGTGATCTCTGGCAATGCCTGTGTGCGTGTGTTTGTCTCCCTTTCCCACTCCAATGCCCACCGTAAAGAAGAGGAGAAAAGCAATAAGGAAGGAGCGAGTGCAGCGTGTCGACGCTCTCTCGTACCAAGTGACTCATTGCTTGGCGCGGTGAGAGTCTTATTGATCTGACTCTCTCGCTAGTGAAATTTTTTGCTTGTTCTGGTGCGTTTTCGTATTCGTTTCGTAAATCGTTCGTTCGAAAATCGTCGCGGGCTTACATATGTACATACAGCTGTGGCATAAATAATAGCACCATGACACTCAATTTTCTGTATTAAAGGATTTTGTTTAAACAGTGGTATTAATGAACGGTTTAAGAACTAATATATATACTTTAGGATGTAATCTAATGTTTCCGAAAGCAATAGTTTGTATTGCAGACTTCAAACGAAAATTATCAAAAAGAAAAGGAATTATTCAAGAATTTAGGCGGCAACAAAAATAGCACTGATTTCCAAAAATTAAAAAAAATACAACTTTAAAAGAAGCTTTCCAAATTTTTCATTAAAGTAGGTTACTTTAGTTGTATTCAAAGGTTAATATTTTGTTATAAAGCCTTTGGAAGCAACCACAGTGTCTCAGCGTCTTGTCATGAAAGTTCACCTCATTTTCGGATCTTTCCTGGGAGATATGGCTCCACCAATAATGCCTGATACCCCAAAGATCAATATTGTTCCTTGGATTCGTATTAGAAACATATTTTTTAGCTTTAGCGCAAAGATTTTTCATTGTGTTCATACCTGGCGACTAAGCAGGCCAATGCATTACATTAAACGCACTGATCTCGAACCACCTTCGAGCTTCCTTGCTGGTCTGTTTTGGATCATTGTCCTGATGGCAGACACAAAACAACGGCATTTCCTATTCCATATAAGGCAGCATCATTGTTTTCTAATATTTTAAAATAGACATGTTGATCCATCATCTATTTGTGCCATGTATTGGACCACCTCAATAATACGAAAAGCATGCCCATGCAATGATACTTATCCCTGAGTGTTTAATGGTTTTATATATTAGCCAGGGGTTTTTATTCTGCATTAGGTGTCGTCATACATAAGATCAAGAGCCTTTCCACAAAAAAAAAAAAATTTGACTTTCTTCGGACCACATGATGTTTCTTTGGGACAACTCCAGTGCTATTTGCATACTGCACTAACTTTGCCCCATGGCTTTCTTTCTCAAGTGGATTTTTCCTCGGACTTTTGGCACTTAATTTATGTTCTTATATGCAAGAACTAACTTTGCTCATCCTTGGCGATTTTTTAAGATCCTTTTTAAGCTCTGTGGACGATTTATAAGGGTCCTTCTTTCTCTCATCAAGCAGTAGTTTGGCCGGAAATGGCGGTATCGCGGCTTTTATTCCATGTGTTTTTTGTTGGTTGCATGTTTTAAAGCATTGCAAGTCATTTTAGTTGATCAACCAACAATTTGCTTCACCTTAAGATAGGTGTCTCCTTCTGAAATAAAAGTTTTGATCCTCTTGCTTTTTTCTTACCTAAAGTGCTTTCTAAGGCCCGAAACTACTTTTATTTTGTTAAGTTCTTGCCACAATCAATCTAAGACACCGACTTTTAATTTATTTAAGATCATAAAATATCAAAAAGCTCGGAAAAGTAAAAGTTTTTATAAAAAACCAATTTTAGTGCTATTTTTGTTGCCGTCCTATTTCGCTTCTTTTTTGGAAAATGGACTTTAGTAATAAGAACCGTTAGGAATTTGAGAGTAAGCACACTTCAATAAGAGAGGAGACATGTAAACCTAATTGATATTATAGTCAAGGGAAAATATGTTGGTTAGAGATCAGGCTTTGAAACAATAAAGTCTGTGGTCAGTGCTATTATTTCTGCCGTAACTGTACATACGTAGCCTCACGCTCCCGTTTATCCATGCAAACATAACCTCGAAAGCGGCGATGCTGGCCAAAAAGGTAAGAGGATTGATGAAACCTTTACCTTGTATATTGTTTTTTCATGATCACCGTGATTTTATTGTAACTCTTTTGATCACCGTGTTAGGTATGGGCGCCGCTACTTACTACTAGCTACGCCACTGATGTCAGATACTCAAATGATTGAGGCAATTATTCTATTCCATACTTTATATAAACGTTTTTCAAATTTATTTTATTTCTATTCATTTATTTATTAATTTATTTCTGCTCATATAATTTTATGGATGTTTTTTAGGCTTACATCTTATATCTTGCAAGTTTCCTCTCATACTTACAATCTATTCCCATCGCTCATCATCTTTCAGTCTGCAAATGAGTTTCCCAAGGGCTTACCCCTGCCCTGCCCTGCTTTGACCAGAAGCTGAACAACGCTGAGAGGTTGACAATTTTATTGAAACTTGTTGAACTTTTCCAAGTAATTGTTTGCCTTTGGGGCTTTTCTTTATTGGGTTGAGGAGGAGGCAAATCCACCTTAAGTAGTTGGCCACCAGCTTATCGCCGGGCGAGTGTCATTTGAAAGACATTATTCTTGGTCTGCTTTTGTCTCTTGTCTCGGTTCCAGGTGCACTAATCGCCGACTGAGCTGGCCAAAAGCTGAGCGGATCGGGTGCCCCGACGGGGGGGAGGACTAAAGACACTGCAGGCCAGTGAGGAAGGAACCGGAACCAGGGGCGGTGTCTTGGCCAAAAGTCAGCTAATTAGCTGGCACTTTGTCTTGAGCCACTTAATTAGCGTGTGCTGGCTCTGGCCTCCTCCTCTGGGCCGGAGCCATAGCCACTGATCCCTCCTCAGTGCAGGGTTCCCCGCACATACAGATTGTTGGCGGGTACAATTGCATTCCAGTTGCGTAGCAGAAACGGTCGCCAATTAAAGTTGGCGGCGGCAGTCTGGGCGGCATTCGCAGTGGCAGAGGCATTGGCGGCATCATCCAAAAGTTCGCCGAGCATATTTAAACTTTTTACGCGCCATTGTTGTTGAGCGTCGGAATGTTATTTGTTGGCGTTTTTCGTTCGTTGGTTGTTGGATTTTATGTATATGATTTTAATTCCATTAAAAATTGCGCTCAGCATGCGAAATAAGTTCAGAAAGAAAGAGAGAGGGAGTACAGGGTTCGAGAGAGCAGCAATGTCACATTTAAAATATTTTTATTGCTAATAAGTTTTTTTTTTGTGCGTTTTTCTTTTTTGTCAGTTGCTGTGTTCTGCGCTAATTAAATGTGTAAATTGTTGGAGTTTTTAATTAAATGCGACAAAATGTCTACAAAAATTAAGCAAAGCAGGCGAAGGACAACAAAGGATTGTCGTTTCCCATTGTCCTTTCCTTTGGGTTCTGTGTTGTGTTGTTCTGTTGGATGCATTTTTGGATGCTTACAACAAAAGTTCTTCAACTTTTTCTAGTTCACTGCAAAAAGAAGCGGCGAGTCAAATCAAATCAGCAAAATGTCCACAAAGAAAAAACAAATCAAAACAAAGTGAGAATTAAAATTAAACACACAAACTTTCGACGGGCTAAGGGTAGGGCACAAACAGTTGCAGGACAAAAGCAGGCTTTGGTGGATGCTGGATGCATATCATAATAAATGTACATATAATAAAATTAAGTAAATTAAGGAAAATTTAAATATAATCGTAGGTAATTAGACAAGGCACATTCGATACTCGTGTGGTGTGGTGGCGTGGTGGACAGGCACAAAACTTAACTATTCCTCTTTGTTCTCCAGGGCTGGCACCTCCCAGTACTGCTCGTCCTGGTGCTGTTCGTCCTTCTGCAGGTTCCGGAAATTAGTGTACTTCAAAACGGTGCCTAGTCATAGGGATAAATATTTAATTTTCACAGATTTTTCTCTCATGTTCATTCCGTGTGTACCTGTCAAAATTCCACCGCCTATGGCAATGAGCAGCGTCAAGGCAATGCCAAACAATTGATAGCCCGCCTGGGAACTGGCATTCCGGCCCAAACCCTGCATAGAGAGAGGGAGAAAGAGAAAGAGATGGTTATCAATGGGTTAAACTGCTATAAACGAATAGCCGAATACTTACGCCCATAATTTTGGTGGCAGTGGCATTGTTGCCAACCATGGCTGGAAAAATGTCCTGCAACTCGGCTTTGTAGTCATCCTGGGTGACCATCGAGGCATAAATAGCTGAGGCAATGGCCGAAATCAGCGCCGGCATTCCATGCAGATTGTGAACGCCACAGGTGTCATGCAGCCGCAGATTCGACGTTAGCCAGGGCTGTAAAATGGAATGCAAAAATGTCACAGCGAAAGCTCGCATTAAAGTTCAGGTAATTTCTGAAATTCGGAATAAAATGAAATTTATTTATGGCTAAAAAGTGGCAGGAGGAGTACGAGTAGGAGTGGGACTACTTCTCGTACTGTCATTAGGGGGATATTTGTAGTTTCTGTGCAAATTTATTTGCCGCTTCAGCTCCGGGGAAAACATCACGGATTTCGGTTGTGCTCCTACGGTTCGGCTGTGGGTCCGACTATGGCTATGGCCATGGCTGGCCACGGCTGGCCAGGCTGGCCAGGCTGGCGGGCAACAAACTTTACTCATTAGCGTCGCATTTTTCGCTAGGCGCACTAATTAAAGTGAAGCCACCGCTGGCCACTCCTCCCTCATCCGCATCTGCATGCCCATGCCCATTGCTATCCGGCGTAACTGGAGGCATTTGAATAGCAGGGCAGGTTATGTTTTGTATGGCACCATCATGGAAGCCAGGAGGCACCCAGCAGCAGCAGCAGCAGCAGTAGCACCCTCTTCGCTTTTAGTTAGTTTTTTTGTCAGTGTTTTTTGTGTGCTCTCAGTTTTTGCTGGTAGGGAGTGGGTGGTGTGGGAAAAGGGAGTTTCGAGTTGAACTTACGGTTAAATAGCGATAGCCGAGCACCGAAACCGTGCCGGCGATAATGCCAATTAAGACAGCGCCGTGTGCGCCGAGCAGCAGGTTGCAAACGGTTCCCACGGCCACGCCGCCGGCGAGAGTCGAGTTCTGCACGTGCACCATATCCAATTTATTCTCATGGCTGACAAGTGCGGACACAACGAAGGTGGTCACTGTGGGGGGCAGGAGAATGAAAGGAGTGAAAAAGAAGTTGGGCTAAAAATGGAACAGTCCAGGGCAGGGGATGAGCGGCATAGAAGGATGCGACGGCACAGGAAGTGCATAGAAGTTTAGGTTCTGCTTCTGGTCTGTTTCTGTTTCTGGCTTTATGGCGAGCGAGTCGAGATTGAATGAAGCGTGAATTGAATGGATGTTAGTACTATATGGGTTCGTTGGCTTAATTACACGATTTTTAATGAATATTTGAATGCAGACAGCTGCGGCTGCAGCTGGAGTTCATTAGGGGAGAGTTCTCTGAGCAGGCTCTGAATTAAGATACAAGCCATTTTATCTTTAGGATTCTAAATCATTCAAGCAGCAGCAACAGCAACAACCCCAACCACAACCACACATTTTTATAATAAACATAAAACTAATAAAAATGTAAGCAGGCCAAGTGCCAAGATCCCCAGAAGTCGCTCCTCCTGGCTGTCCCGGCTGGTCACACCATAACTGGGACTAACCAGGACACAAGGACTTCAGTTTATGTACTTTGGCAAGCATAAATCTCGCCTGAATAACACTAAATACTTAAAAATCTCCATTTTATGGCGGAACATATGTTGCAGCAATAATAATTTGCATAAATTAGTTGGCAAACCAGGCAGCAGCAGCAGCAGCCAGCCGGAGGCTACCACAAAGAGGATGCCACATGGCAAATAAGTAAGCCAAATCACAACCAACAAGGGTGAGCGGGATGGGTGGGAACCGCAACAATTTCAAAACAGCTTTTGACGTTGTCGGTGCTGGACACAAAATTACGAGAACAGCAAATTCTGGCTTAAAAATCAATTAAACAGCTTTTTTACAGCCGGCTCCTGGTCCCTGGTGCGCCACAGATCCACTTGCATCGTACTCTCGGTACTCGGTACTTGGGACTCGTGACTAAACCAAAGCCAAGCCAAAGGCGTCCGAGATTCAGCAGGATGTCAGCAGGGGTGGCTCCTCGAACATTAAACAATTTAAATTAACGCCAATGGTGTCACTTGCGACTGTAAAATGTGTTTGGTGCTTAACGTTGTTGCCCAATGCGGGCAGACTCCGTACGAGACTGACCAGACCCAAACCCAGACCCGAACCCAAATCCAGGACCCACACCCCGCCAGAGAACCGCCACGCCACCCATTCCCGGGCACAAGGCTCGGGCTTGGGCTCTCATTTGGTGGTGCCTTGGTGTGAAAACAACAACTGGGGCGTATTTTTGCTGTTGGCGCCGCATTTGGACACCAAATGGCGTCGTCTGCCGCCCTGTCGTGTGTCCTGTGTCCTGCCCCTGGTCCCTGGTCACCCGCCATGCATGTCGTCCCTCCCGCATGGACAACATGGTGCCACGGACGACGGTCACACCCACCCAGACCGCCTCTAATTTCAGCATTGAACTGAACCCCAGCTTTAGTTTAATTAAGGCAACAACTAGTGAGGCAAGCAGCCGGCTACTGAACGGACAAAGGACGAAGGTGGAGTAGTGGAAGGGGTAGTGTTGGGGGGGGAGGAAGGATACTGCAACGGACGGAGCAACCGGAACGTCGGAGCGACAGCCGCACGTTGACTCAACTAATCGCACATCCTTCCGCATAAAATGCTTTACCCAGACGCCCGCTCTCTCGCACTCCTCGTATCTGTATCTCGGCATCTCTCCCTCTGACCGTAGTTAGCCATTGTAAATACTCTGGATGTGTGTCTTTAGAGCACCCATGGGGTTCAATCATAGGCTATAGGAAGAGAAAACATGAAGGAATAAAACTCTTCCAGAATTCTCCTAAGAAAATCTTCAATCAGAAATAAATAAATAATGATATTCCCACCTACTGATGTTTCATCTATCAAACTTCAAAATATCTGCACATTAGCCGACACCTTCTGTCAGGGCATCCCAACTTCGTTAAGCATTTTCCTATGAAGCTCATGCGGCTTGTGTTAGGTGTTACCTCCGTCGCCGTAACGTGAGGGCTTTAATACCCTCGACCAGGCACAAGCAGAGAGAGAGAGAGGCCCCAAACCGAGACCGAGAGTGAGACTGAGACTGAGGCCACAGCTAGCCAAGTGTCGCCCCGTCCACCTCCTGGTTGCCCCATCTCCATGCGAATCCCTCGACCAAATCCTCGTCCTGCTAGGAGCTTGGCTTATCTCAGCTGCTGCTGTTGCTGCTGCTCCTACTATTATTATGGCTGTTGTTGCTGCTGGCTGCCATGGTTGCTATGCTGCTGGAGGTCCTTTGTATACATTTAATTTGTGTTTTGTTATTTACATTAACCGAGCACCAGACTCTGGGATCCCAGACTCAGACCCCTGCCCGGACACCGACACCCGGCTCTGTGCTTTTAGCACATTTTCCATATAGAGACGCCCCCGACTAAGCACAAATGCTGGACAGGCTGACCAAGCGGCTGGACCTTGTCCGGCTGCTCCTGCCATCCGCCCACCCATTTGGTTCGTTTTTATGTGCTCTACGTGCTCAAAATAAATTTTCAAATGTGTTAACGAAACTATTTGACATTTAATTAGTTTGTGAGGCGCATGCATAAGGATTTGGAGTGGCAGGATCATGGATACTGGACTCGGGGCCTTTTCAATTTCATTTGGCAGCTTGTTAATAGGCCCGCCAACATTATAATTAACAAAGCTGGTCAGACACAGTACAGGATAAGGATGAGGTTGAGGAGGCATGAAGCACGAAGCAAGTAGATGTGTGAGCAAAGACAGCCTCCGGGAGATATGCACACGACAGTATGGATGGGGGTGGGTGGATGGGTGGATGCTGTACCTCCATTTGAGCTACAGCTAATTGCTGGGACTCAGACGCTGTCGCCGACACAGACGCCGTCTGCCTGGTGGCACGTGACTCACCTGTTGCCGCGGCTAATGACAGAAACGTGTTCAAAATGGCCCGCTCGGCGCCAGTGCCCGCGGCCAGAACTGAGTTGAAGCTGGGCCAGTAGACCCACAGGAAGGTGGTGCCGATCATGGCCAGAATGTCGGATGTGTAGTTGGCGCCCTCGTGCTTGCCCGCCTCGTTCTGGTCGCTGGCGGGACGCAGCATCAGGGCCACGGCCAATCCAAAGTAGGCGCCAAAGGCGTGGACGGTGATGGAGCCGCCGCAGTCGCAGATCTGCAAAAGGAAAAACTCACTCAGTCTTGGCTCCACCAGGGTGTGTATCCTTTTCGTTAGTTGGACTTACGCTGAGGACATTGAGGGCCAGATACTCGTTGGCCGCGAACAGAGCCACCTCGAAGATGGACATGCACAGAAGCTGAATGGGTGTGGTGCGACCCAGCAGGGCGCCCATGCTAATTAGGGGCACGGCGGCGGCAATGTCCGCATCGATGATGTTCTCCAGCGAGAGGCTGCAATGGGGGAGGAGGGGGCATCAGTAAAAAAAAAGAGTGTGACAGGTGACACGCCTACGCTCAAGAGCTGTCGCGGATGTTCTGCCTCTGACATGCATACAAAATGGCGCCATCTAAGCAACGGCAAATGGCGGACAAATGAAATGGAATAAAATATATTTTAAAGCATTTTCGTCCCGTCTTTTACGTGGCTCCTCCTGTCTGAGCTCCTTTGGGGAAGCTTCTACTTCGTCCTTTGTTTGCCATTTCACTTAGCATAAGTAGCAGCACCCCCGAACGCCAACTGCCCTTCCCCTTAAGGTTCTACATTGCTCCATTTAAGTAAGTAATTGCTTGAATTCATTTCACCTTCTGAGTGGGTTTTAATGTTTTTTTCTCTCTTAATTTTGCCAACTTATTTGTTTTCTGGTTCTGGGTACCCGGCAAAAGCAATTAATAAATTGATGTCAGAAGCACCCGCACTCTAGCACTCACCTGATCTTGCCGCCCTCCATGTGCAGGAATCCCTTCATTAGGATGGACCACTGAACCACCAGGGCAGCCATGAACAAAGTGAAGCCCGTGGCACTGTAGCCGTACTTGCGCAGGAAGGTCATCAAGAAGCCAAAGCCAATGAAGATCATCACCTGTATGTCCTGGAACTCTGTGTGTGTGTGTGTACGGGAGAGGGAAGAGAGAGCAGGGTAAAGGGTTTCGGGCTTATTTATGGATGTGCGGGAGTGGCGAGGGGTATGTGGGCCAGGCTGGGGGATGCGATGCCAATTAATTGAGTCAAGTCGTTTCAATTAACCGCCCAATTGTCTGCTGCCAAAAGTCAATTGCATTGAGATTGATGTCACCAGGGCACACACCAAGGGAAGATGCCATGCCTCTAAGTTGCACCAAATCCCGCTCCCCAGTGTCCCAAGTGTGCCACCCTCTCTCTCCGTCCCTCTGTCTGTGTGTGTGTGTGTGTTCGCGCGGGTGCAATTAGTGTGAAATACGGTTTAATTTATTTATTATGAATTGCAACAAGTTGTTTACAGACGCATTTGCATAAATTGAAATTAATGACTTTAATTATTCATTTATATATGTGTGTGTGTGTGTGTGTTTACTTGGGTATCTGTGTATTTGAGTATCTGTGGATCTGTGGGTGTTTCGTTCGGCTCCATATTTGGTTTCAGTTCGGTTCGGAAAGGGAGAGAGAGAGAGAGTGGCAAAAGTAATTAATGGAATTGGTGCCACGGGACACCCAAAGACTGCTTGCTACAAGCAGCAACTGTAGGAAAAATAACTTCATTTATTTATGACCCGCCAACACTTGGCAAACACAATGCTGCTGGTTCAGGGTCCTGCCATTAGTCCTTTGCTGCTCCTTTGGCTGACTTCTACCCCCAAAAATGAGACTAGAACAACATATATGTACACTCAGAGAAAACACACACGTAAATGTATTTAAATTAAATATTCCGTGTACAAATAAATATGGGGAAATATGATCTAAATTTAAAACTCTTGAAAATAAATAGTATATATTTCTTTTGTAGTAAAAAATGTAATTTATATATGAAAAATATTTAATTAAAAAAATATATATATGTATTAATTAAGTTAAATATTTTCATTATAATCTTAGTATTAAAACTTCAAGCCTGTTTCTTCTCTGAGTGTATGCATGCAGTAGGGGAACAGAATGGGTAATAGCTCCCACTCTCTCTCTCTCACACTCTCTCTATGTCTACGAGAGTCTGTGTGTGCCCAAAAAGTTGTTGCTTTGATTTAAAGGTTCAACTGTGGCTTATATCGTTGGATACTTTTGGGGGACTTGCCTCTAATTGTTTTTTTTTTTTCACCGTGGAGTGGCACTTGTGGAGCACTCGTAGAGTAATCTCCGCTGTGATTCAACTAATTTAGGCAACAGTTTGAGCGCTATCTATTGACGTAGCACTAGCTACCCCCCATAAATGTGTCCAGAGATACGGTCGGACGAAGACAACATCCACAACCTTCCACCACATCACATGCAGATAAGGAGGTGAGTCTTTGTCAATGTCTTTAGTCAGTTTGGACGATTGAAGCTGTTGCTGACCGCTTCGATTTGGTGACTTTCATTAGCCCAAGACGGCTAATTAACCCCAGTAAGAATTTTGTTGCAAAAAGTAGATCCAAAAGTGAGACCCAAAAGCTGTTAATAGATATTTTCTCACATCTGTGGTTAGGCTATAAATACATAAAATATTCTCCCCAATCCCAATGGGCGGGCACTCAGTGGTGCACTCAGGGTGGGTAGGTGGCAGGCAGGCAGGCAGGCAGGCAGGGTGACATAGTGACAGAGCGGTGTGTGGTATGGGGACATTGGGACACGGGAAATCCTTGCTACTCACGCGGATATTTCGAAACGTGTTCGTTTGCTGATCCAGCGTCTTCAGTACGGAGTGCCGGCGGCAGGGCCGTCTTCTCGTAACGCACGAACAGCCAGAATAGAACCAGGAAAATTATTTGCACAATCATCAGGACAATGTAGCCCGACACTTTGGAAGCCGGCGAATGCATGGTGAAGGCAGGAGCACAGGAGCTGGAATTCCACTAGCAAAAAATAACAAATGAAGAAGAAACCGCTGGCTGGCAGAGGTTGCTTTGCCCCCCTGATTGAGACAGCAATCGAAGCGGAGTCGCAGTCGGAGTTTGTGCTCTCAAATCCACGCCGTAGTCGTTGTATAGGGCGTGTGTATAGGGCGGGCTGGGTTGGGTTGGGTTGGGCTGGGGTTCGGGCGGATTTAGAAGCCGTAAGTGGCCCAGACAGGAAGTCGATGCTGCGGCAGAGTGTCGACTTCTCCCTCCACTGATGTGCGCAAATATTTGTGCGCTTTTCAGTTCTAACTATCTCGCGGCGGAGGCAATGCCACTGGCAGCGAGCAAAAGCGGTGGAGTTGCACCCGGGGACACGGAGACACGGAGTCGGAGACACCACGTTCACATTCACGATCTGCTGCGGCTGAGCACGGAGCGCGTACTGATGCCCAGAGCGATGAGCGTGGCGTGTAAGTAGCTTCTGGGGGTCGGTCTCGGTACCGTACCGGATAGCAGCAGCAGCAGCAGCAGCAGCAGCAGCAGAGGACGGCAGCGCGGTTGCTTTGTGCGGTCAACGGGGCGAATGTGCGATATCCACAGCACAGCGATTTATTCGCATGATATAACTATTTGATTTAATTTGCAACTGCCTCTGCTGCTGCTTCAGTTCTGCTGCCTCTTACTACGAGTACTCGTATTCCACTCTTGCTGAATTATTCACAGAGCCAGAGCCAGTGCCAGAGCCAGAGAGCCGCCCCCGTGTGGAGACGAGTCGTTGTGGTTTCATTTTATTTAAATTGTTCTTATTTTAGTTGCATTGCAATTTCAATTGCAAATCGTTTTACAAACTGTACGGCCTCTCCCACTCCCACTTGCATGAGGCACCCAAAAAGCAGCCTCAGACCTCTTTGCGGTCTTCATCCTCCACTCCACACTTCTCCAGTCTGCAGTCTGGGATTCAGTTTATTTGTTTGTTTCTTTGGTCAATTGATTGGTAATTCGTTACAAATTTATTCCCAGACTGCAGTCTGCACACAGAAAACTGTAGACTGCATTTTGTTGTTGTCTTGGCCAAACGATTTGCATAAATGCCCCAGTGAAAGTGGCTTAAAGTTTAATGCTATTTATCGGCTATTCTCGACTGTTGTTGTTGGTCAGGCTTTAACCATCGTTTAACCCATTTAGATGGAATGCTCTAGAGCCTGATAAGCGCACAACCTCAGTCAGCCGGTCAAGTGCTGGCACACTCGACAATCGAGTAGGGAAGATACTGCACTACTCATATGAATGGAACCGATTTGGATTGGGAATGATACGATACGATTAGACAAGTGCCAGCTGGCGAGAAATTAACGCGCTGTCAGTGAGGCAGTAACAAATGGCCGTAAATTAAACAGCAGTGGAACAGTACAAGTGGGGAAGAGCAGAGCAGAGCAGCTGACTCGATCGCGCGCTCATTGATCCGAGCCCCCCCGGTGCGGCTCTTTGCAAACAATTTCGACTCATTAACAGCCTTTTTTTAGTGGTTTAGTGCGAACCTATTGGGGGTAGGGGATAGCCAATAAAGCGGAATAGTCGCACATTCGTGCCAAAAGCCCACCAAAAGCTACAAAATGTTTGGATCAGCGCCAGAGCACAAAGCACGAAAGGGTGAGGGGCAGGTACAGGGGCAGGGGCAGAAATTTCAATTGTAGATTGCTTGGTGATACGAAAAAGCGATTAAAGATAACCCATAAATGGAAGTGTAAGTGTAAGTGGAACACACAGGGTGTGGGGGGAATGGGGAGATGGGCATTTAACTAATTGTTCAAGCAAATATCATTCAAAAAACGCAACACATTGTACATAAAGCGGCGGCAGGGAGGCCACTGGGGCGTATGATTGATATTTATTTTTTGTGCGCAAATACACGACCGAGCATCAGCACCTGTGTGAAAATTGAAATTCTCATGCCACAACGGAAAGAAAGGCATGCAAGAAAAGTGGGCCCCCAACCAAGCAACACAAGAAAATGTGTGAAGTTTGCGCAAAAACCGCAAATGTTGCCAGGCACGCGCTCACATCTTGGAAAATCCACACACAAAACAGCCAAGAAAAAAAAAAGAAAAACAGGAAAGGAAAGAAAAGTAAAGGAAAAGTAAAGTAAAGAAAGGGAAGAAAGGCATGAAGTGGGAGGGGTGGGCAAAGGGAAGGTAGTGCCGTACATCAGAGCATTTGTACTGTTGTGGCTGTTGCTGATGTTGTTGCTGCTGTTGTTGCTGTGGCTGCTGCCTACTTGGCGGCTGGGCAGGGGATGAGGGAAATTTGCATCCGCAATCACTTTAAATGTTTCCGTTTGAATACGCAAATAAATCGAAAAGGATTTCCATTGAATGCTTATGAGTGTGTCCCCCTCCACTCTCCACTCCGCCTCAATCGTTTGGGAAAACCCTTGTTAATGTTGTTGTTTACAACAAGTGTACATGTCTAAATCCCCCCAGCAAAAGCAGCAGGCAAAGATACAGATACATATGTGTATATATATGTACATACAGAGAGGGGTGCCACAAAAATTTGATAACATTGTGAAGCGGCTGCCAAACTGTCAGCACACAACTCCACACGATGTAGTCATGGCTACTTCCCATCCATCCAAGTTGTGACCAGTCCGAGGTCCGAGGCCAGGGTTATGCAGAAATACTCGTACGGGTAGGGGTACGGGTACGAGTACGGGTCCGGGATGCCCGAGTGTATGCTCTGAGCCGTAAATAAATATGAGCAACTGTTGGCCGACAACGGGACAACAGAACAACAACGTTGACGATATGTTGATAAACTTTAACACCCCTTTTACAGTCTGGCACACTCCCGTGCTCACTCTCTCTCCCTGTCCCTCACTCAAGTTATTTGTGCTGCAATCCCTTGCAAATTCCGCAGCCTAATCCCCACACAGAGACGAGGAACCTTCGCCAGAGTTGACCCATAAAATTGTGGAGAACAGGCGCCATTCAAGGCGAAAATGGTTTCGGGAACAAAACAGATGCTGCTGCTGCTGCTGCCTGCAACTGCCTGGAACTGCATGCAGGAGCAACTCTTTTGTGTGGCTTTGTTATGCCAAACCAAAGTATCCTTCAGCTGGCTGGCTTTTCATGACATTCCGGGATCGGAGTGGGCTCCGTTGCACAAAATTCGTTCGACAGTCTCGCTGCATGTGTGCATGTATGTGTAGGTATGGGGGGCACATTCGTCTCAGCGTTCTTGTCCCCATCCTCGAACTCGATGCCTAAACGATTTGCTTTTTGTCTGTTTTGTGTCAATTTTGGAATCCGCTTTGGTTATGCTGCCGCTTCATGTCGCCTGCCCCATCTTGTGTGTCGCTTTTGCTGGAGCTGAAGCTGAAGCTTTTGCCTGCGGCAATTGTTGGCATTTACAGCTACTTGGCTTCCAGGCTCTTGACTCGTCCTCGCCGCCTCCCGGACTTGTACTTGTACCATCTCTTTGGCTCTAAGTCTTGAGACTCTCAGGACTTTGGCTCAAGTGCCGCGCTGGGGATTTTTCAATTGCGTTTTATAATAAATTTCGATTTGTCAGCGCCAAAGCGAAGCGCCAAGGCCTTCGAGTGCTCCGCCTCCCACTCACAAGTGGCTGCAAAATCAGTCAGCGATATGGCCACTAGACGAGATATAAATACAAAGCAATTTTGGCCAACAATTTTGGAAAACGGCTCAATTGTTGGAGCTGAAAAAAGCGCAGGCCAATGGATAATCAAGTGCAGTTTTTGGTCTTAATCGAAAATACTTACTGGAATGCCTACATTTTCAGGTAACAGTAATGGCTGGCCCCATTCTTTATAGGGAACTACGTAAAGAAAGGGAAAACCATGCCCAGGGTGTCTCTGTCTAAGTCTAGCGGGAAACAAGCCGCGTGGGCATCACTCTCCCTCTGCATTCCGCTCAAAAGTATGCACCACATTGCCACAGTAGCCCAAACGATCGGCAAGCTTCAGCCCCGCTGTAGGCCACTTACAAAAATGGCCAGAAAAACCAGTTTAAACAGAGGCAGCAGCTTGAAGCGTGTCCAGCAGCTAAACTAGATCGGAAACGTGTGCAGAGAGAGAGAGAGAGAGAAGAACGCAGCATATGCCGGATCCGAGCGATGGGTAGCTGGTGCAATAAAATGCCAACACCACCCCGAACAAAATGATCGTTTGACAGACGCTTTAGATGCGGATCTGAACTAGTTTTGGTTGGTTGGCCTTTTAGTTGTAATGATTTTATTATTATTATTATTTTATTCGAAAATGAAGGCAATCAAAGGGCACACAAAGGTAACTTGTGCCGGTTGTGTGCGCTGCTGCGCTTTCTGCTTTATGCAGATTTGATGATAAGAATGCTCTAGTTTATGGCTTGAATTGGATTGAATTGAATTGGATTATGGAGTGGACTATGTGGACTACTTCCGGCTGTGGCTACTTCAGGCAATGGCCGTGGCATGCGTTGGGGGTGGGCTGGGAGTGGCATTAGCCGTCTCATGCGTCTGGGCCGGGGTGTAGGTGGTGGCGGTGGTGGCGGCCGGGGTGTAGGTGGTGGCGGGCGGGGTGTAGGGGGTGGCAGACGGGGCATATGAGGTGGCTGTGTCCTCCGGTTCCTTGTCCAGAATCACCTTCTTCATGATAAAGTACAAAGCTCCGCCCACAATCAGCTCGGCGATGGCCACGCAGATGATCAAGGCCCAGCCGGGTATGGCAAGGCCACCTGCAAGGATAAGGAGAAATAGAGGATAGAGTGTTAGCAATCATCCATCCATCCATCCAACCATTCATCAGAGATCTGTGATGGTGACTCACTGAAGTATCTGCGGGTGAGGGTGCGACGACCGCGATTCACGCGTCGCGTGGCCTCCGTCCCCTCCAAGCAGCAGGCCAGCAAAACTGCAAAGAAAATCAAATCATAAAAAAAATATATTAAAAATTGTTGTACAAGAGGCACTCGACCATGTTAACAATTCAAGTCCAAGTCGCAGAATCGAGTAGTATTTGAATATTTGAAGAACGCGGCGCTGTGTGTGGCCAGCGGAGGCGACCAGCTGTGTGTGTGTGGCTTTGAGGCATCCATCAAATCACGGAACGGAACTCATTGAAAAAACTCAACACCAACAAAGCAACGCAACGCAACGCAGCGCTCACCATTCATCATATAGATCCATAGATCTATGTATCTATTGTTGCTGCCTGCCCGAAGACTTGTTAAGATATTAACAATTAATTATTGAGAAAATGTTTAGCAACAACGCCGCCGAAAACTGTTACTGGCGCGCGCGCCGCATATCGATGATAAATGCGGAATATACGAAATATCTGAGCTCATCCATAGGCAAATAGAAGGGGGGAACATTGGAGCTTAAACGTTGGGCACGTCCCCTTCACCCCTCAACGCCAGTGTTCCATCATTGCGGATGTCAGACTCGATTTCACGTAAAATTATCAAAATGTATTTTTAATTAATATTTTTACGTTTGTTTTTTGTTTATGTTTGCTTTGGCATGAAATTTTAAACGGATTCACATTGTTAGTTGATCTGGAAAATGTTCTGTGTTCTGTTCAGTGCCAGTGTATTGATTTCCATCTGGATTCGATTAGGCCTGGGACTGGTGGCCAGGGTAGGTGCTGCAAAATTGTGGATATGCGAAACCAAAGCTCTTTGGCCAGCCACTAACCAAAATTAATTGTTGCTGTATTTTCTGTACATATTTTTTTTTATTTATGAATTAATTTGCAACATATTCGATTCCATAATTTATATGCGAAATAATTACCGAGCTTTTGCCACTTCCGGTATTAGTATTAGTGCACATTGCACATTGGGGTCGGGCCTAATCAAAATTTAATGAATTCTATGAAAATATTTAAGGAAAATGATTAAATGCCGAAATAAAATGTAAAATTCATTGCAGCAACAATTTTTCCCATTGGATTGGAATTTACTGGATGTGTGTGCCCCGAAATAAGTACAACCGATTCGAGGTGAATGGGTGGGGTGGGGGTATAACAATGAGTAATCTCTGCTGCTTATCAGAAACCCCTACTGATAAGAGCCACACACAAATATTTGTCGAGTTTTCTTGGGCAAAAGTCTCCACGGTCTCCACGGTCGCCACTATGTTGTGCTATGACACACTCCAGTTACTCATCGTTAAAGTCTCCAATGGAGAATGGTCGGAGTTAGGTCATTAAAAACCCCCTCCCAACCCACACTGCACTCCCTTCCTTACACTCTGCTGTTGTGCGGATACACTTGAGTGTAATGCCACACGGAATGCGACTATCTAGCTATTATGATGACAGGGATCGGTTACTGCACACACACACACACACACACACACACAGGGAATTGAGGGGGGAACACATCTTCAAGATAGACATGCGGATGCGATGCAGGGCAGAGAATCTTCGAAAAGTTGAGCCATATGCAGAACTTTACCCAGGCATATCACCAAGTAGGTGGAGCACTTCTTAGACAACTTCATTTTCGTTTTCGTTTCCGTTTTCGTTCGCTCCTAAAAAAAACTTTCTTGCACTCTCTGCTTTTAGCTGTTAGCCAAGTTTGTAACGCGCACGTCTGCAACTCCAAAGTGGAACTAAAAACCTGAGTGCGTGATTGCATTGAGCGGCCAGGCAGGCAGGCAGGCAGGCAAGCAGACAGGCAGGTGCTCGTATCTTATCATCTTATCTTAGCACCTTATCCGACAGCGATAAGATAAGACAAAACTCTCTTTCGCTCTTTCTCTCTCTTCCATTCAGTGCCATTCAAAGGTATAGGAGTGGGCGGAGAGCAGCAGGAATAAGTGCCAGAATATAAGAGACAGAGAAATTTGTTTTTAAAAATGATTTTTATTTTATTTATAATTCGTTTTGTTGTTTGTACTCGGGGATTGTTGTTCATAACCGTTTCGTTTTCTCATATTGACTAATACGCTCGACTTATTTTAGTTAGTTTTCATTATGAGAATTCGGGTAAGGAAGGACATCGCATTCCTGACATTCTCAAATGCTGTGCGGTGGGTGTTCGATGGGCGGCAGCTTAGTGGCGACGGAGCTTCAGGCGACGGACTGTTTTGTAGCGGTATCCATCGTTGGCCAGGATCGTCTGCTCGGCAGGCACATCGATGACGGCCGAAGCGGCCTCCTCCACGGGGGGCAGGTACTCGGCAGAAAGCTCATTGACATCACGACGGCGACGGATCACACGACGAACGGTCTTGTAACGGTAGCCATCATCGGCCAGGGGAGTCTCCACAGCAATAGCCTCAGAGGCCTCCTCCACAGGGGGCAAGTACTCAGCGGTGGGCAGCTCGTTGACGTCACGACGGCGACGGATCACACGACGAACGGTCTTGTAACGGTAGCCATCATCGGCCAAGGGAGTCTCCACTGCAACGGATTCGGATGCTGCTTCAACTGGGGGCAGGTACTCAGCGGTGGGGAGCTCGTTTACGTCACGACGGCGACGGATCACACGACGAACGGTCTTGTAACGGTATCCATCATCGGCCAGGGGAGTCTCCACAGCAATAGCCTCAGAGGCCTCTTCCACAGGGGGCAGGTACTCAGCGGTGGGGAGCTCATTGACATCACGACGGCGACGGATCACACGGCGGACAGTCTTGTAACGGTAGCCATCATCGGCCAGGGGAGTCTCGACAGCAACAGCCTCAGAAGCCTCTTCTACGGGGGGCAGGTACTCGGCGGATAGCTCGTTCACGTCACGACGGCGACGGATCACACGGCGGACAGTCTTGTAGCGGTATCCATCATCAGCAAGGGGAGTCTCAACGGCAACAGCCTCAGAGGCTTCCTCCACAGGGGGCAGGTACTCAGCGGTGGGCAGCTCGTTGACATCACGACGGCGACGGATGACGCGGCGGACGGTCTTGTAGCGGTATCCATCATCAGCCAAAGGAGTCTCGACGGCAACAGCCTCAGAGGCTTCCTCCACAGGGGGCAGGTACTCAGCGGTGGGGAGCTCGTTGACGTCACGACGGCGGCGGATCACACGACGAACGGTCTTGTAGCGGTATCCATCATCGGCCAGGGGAGTCTCCACTGCAACGGATTCGGAAGCCTCCTCCACGGGGGGCAGATATTCGGCGGTGGGCAGCTCGTTGACGTCACGACGGTGGCGCAGCTTGAGGCGGCGGACGGTCTTGTAGCGGTATCCATCATCGGCGAGAAGACCCTGCTCGGCGGCGGGCAGCTCGACCAGCTCGGAGGCGGCTTCGAGGTTGTTGTCCACTGGGGGCAGGTAATCCGTGGCAATGGAGGCCGCCGAAGCAGCTGCGATCACAGCAAAGGCAATGACAAAGAATTTCTGCAAGAAAACAAAAGAAGGAGGATAGAGTGATGCTGAGGCTTAGTCCTGCAAACGGGAGTTGGGGAGCGGAGGATGTTGGGTGTACTAACCATTTTCCTAGAAGATGTCCAAGACGATGTATGTTAGATTAATCCAAAGTTGATTCTGTTTCCAAACCAGACCTAACGACACTATTTATACACAAAATTCGATTCGAGATCCGCCAAAAAGTTCTCGGCTGCCGGCCAATGTCCATTCACTTTGGACAGAGATGCGCAGAGCAGAGCAAAGCAGAGATCGAGCAGAAGCGGAAACCGGTTACCGATCGACGATCACCGCCGAATCAACTACCGCATCGCTGCCACTTCTATCGGTTGGTGAGGAGGCGGGGGGAGCTTAGTGGATTCGGATTGTCTAGTTGCCTATTGCCTATTGTCAAAAAGTGTCTCAAGCACCAATTGAACTCCACTCCAGCACATGGTTATCAATAAAAAATTTAAAAATTTAAAAAATGATTATGCCAGAAGACAAAAACGAAAGCAAACAGAGCAGAGCAGAGGAGCAGCAGCAGCAGCAGCTCCAAAATGGAATAAATCCAAGAGACGAGGCGTAGGATGAATCTCTAACAATAGTCGAGGGCTCTTTGGCATTCATTCTCGATTGTCTCGATTCGATTTGCATCGGCTTATGCTGATGTCTGGCTCTATGTCTGGCTCTAACTCTGACTCTAAGGGGGTATTGTGTGTGGCATGAATAGAACTGATAGATTTGTGTCAATTCAATGGATCCATTGGATCAATGGTAATTACAAGCGGAAGTCGCCGCTTCTTCATTTTGTCCGGTGAATGCTTCATAGCCGACAGAATGGATGGATGGATGGATGGATGGATGGATATGGATGTGTGTATTTTTGGAGGCTCTCGATCAGTGAGTGCTTAAGGCCATGCACGGTGGAGAGTGTTTGCCATCAGCACGATATGATTATGATTATGATGGACTGGACTGGACTGGACTGGACTGGACGGACTGGAAGGTTGGAGCCGAGAGCTCTCGAGTGTTGCTATTTTTGGCGGCGCTTGACTACGGCTACGGTTACGCTACATGCGGCGGCTATTAATAGAGGAATGATTTAAGAGTTTTAACAGATGAGATCGCTTCGCCTCTTCGCCTCTTTGCCACATTTCAATATTTTTTCTATAAAATTTAAATTGTGTTTATTTTTGCTCCAATTGAGCCACGAACGCATGCCATAAATCTTTTTGATATGCTAAATTGCTGTTGCTGTTGCCTTTGCCCACTCACAGCCGTGAGATCCATCAAGCTCGTGGGGGGGGGGGGAGAATGATGGAGCACCTTTCGACAATGGCCAAGAACTTCGAGTGGTTTTTCGTTTGTCTGCCCGAAAAGGTATTACGATATGGCGATTGGACAAGAATAGAATGGAATTTGGTTTTATTTTTATATTTTGGCATTTGTGTAGGTTTTACATTTACTCGCAACCCTCCCCCTAGCCCCACGCATGGGCAGTACATCCTGTTGGCTTTAATCAGAATTACAGTTTGGCCCTAAAGTTAATTAAATGAAAGTGCCCTCGACTTTATTGTTAACATTTCCTAGGCTCCATTTCCAATGGTATTCGTTGATGGTTGGGGGGTGTTATTCAGTCGTTTATTCATTTGTAAATGGCGCATATAAAAAATATATATGTATCCACCCCTCCCCACCCCACCCTCCACAACCCACCATTGCTGCATATTTAATTTATATCTGGCAATCAGCATCATCATCATCATCATTTCGCAGCGCCCTCAGAACTGCCCCATGTGCCTGTCTCCATGTCCCTATGCCCATGCCCCGTGGCCCAGATCCAGTTGCCAGTTGCCAGTTGTCGGATGTGGAAAGCACGGGGCAACTGAATAAACAAGACTCCATTCTACTCTCTCCTCTCTCCTACTGCTCTCTTTTTGGGGGAGACTTCCTGGGTGGATTATTGGGAATGGATAAATAACAAAAAAAAAAAACGAAACAAAAATCCACACAAAAATATATCTGCATATAGATGGGGTATCCAGGTTCAGGTACAGGCCGGACGACAGTCGCAAACCCCCAACCTCAGTCCATTCTCTGTCCAAGAATCGCGCCAGGGTGCCAAGGATCACAACCTGTACGTGGCATCCGGCCCAGTCCCAATACCAATATCAATCCCAAGCCCAGTCCCCCGTCTCCAACGCCCAGTTAATCATCCAACTGGCAGAGGCAGGCCGTGCCCCTGTTAATCCAATGCATTTGTGTCCGGGAGCACTTCAGCTGCAGGTACATCACGAAATTGGTGGAATGGCCAGTGGTGGAGAGGATGCCTCGCCGTTCGCTGGTCTTGTACACGGGACAGTCGTAGATGGTGTCGCCACCTTCGGCCCCGCCAGTGGCGCGGGGTATATCATCCAGGGCCTTGAGCACAGGACGCAGATAGATGACGGGCAGAGTGTCGAATAAAATCTTTGAGAAGGATTCATCTATCTCCTTGGTCTTGCGATTCCAGCGAGCGCCCTCGATGAAGATGCCCTTACAGAGGAGGCAGAAAAGAAGAAGCAAATATTAATGAAGGAATAGCAAATGTTGCAGTGCAAATATATCCAAGGATATCTGAGGAATGTGTGTGCCCAAAAGGAGGTATTAACAGTCTTTCTAGTCTTACTTGTATGAACTTGGTCTCATCATTGACCGCTTTTTGTTCCTGCAGCATTTTTCAAAGCTCAATGTTCATTTAGTGTTTGATTTAAAGTTTAAAATGAGATAAATTAGTGGCTTGAGAACTTACCCGAATGTAGGCCCCCACCTCGGGTGTCTGATTGACTTGCACTTCGAACTTGGTGACCGCAAACTCGATGAATATCATGTCGATTTGGAAACGATTCTTTCGCGAATAGTTCTGCAAGACGCCCGTGATGAAGGACTGGGTAAAGTAGAAGCCCGATATCCAGTATACTGTGGGTTCACCCTTATCAATCCAATCCTGGAAGAAGGCCAAGCTGCGGGTCAGACGGTGGTCAGAGATGGAGTTATCTTATTTTTCAATTTATTAATAAATATTAAACATGCGACAACAATAAAAGGGAATGCACACACAAAAGCAAGGCAGAGGAGCGCATACAAACAGCAGGAGCAGCAGCAGCAGCAGCAGTAGCAGCGTCCTTTGATGTCAAAAGCAAATAAGATTTTTGCCATGAATGGCAGCAGCAGGAGCCCCCAGAGGCAGTGGCAGTGGCAAGGGTAGGAACAGGGACAGGGAAGGATGGGAAGTGTGTGTGCCGTATACATTTATTATATTTGCACAATTGAGGCAAAGAACGAAAAGAACTCGAAGCAGAGCAAAGGAGAGCTCAGCGCTCAATACAATGCCATTGATGGCTGTCCAAATGTCTAGGATCCCATGCTCCACATATATCCTCCATAGAAGTAGAGAATATATATAAAGAGAGCACGAGAGAGTGGGAGAGGGAAAGACAGAAAGAACTGCTTACCGTGCGAGTAGGTCGCTCACGTAGCTGCCCAATGGCTTGAGCGATGGATAGCTCTTCTTGAGCCAATCTGCCGGCAGCTTGCCAATGACCATCGAGGCATGGGTGCGCTCCAGCTCCGGTATCATCGCAATCTGCCCCACCACCGCCTTGCTGACGTTCACCAAACTCTTGCGGATGTACGATAGCAGCCGATTGAAGCGTATCAGCTCCTGGCGCAGCACAGTGTTCATCGAATTGGTGTAGATCACGGGATATGTCTTGGACACCTCATCAATATCATACTCCAATGGCAGCTGACTCAACAGCTGCTTGCAAATGGCAATGGCTGGATCCTCCTTGGCACCACCCGCCGAACTGGCCTTCACGGAGGCCATCAGATCGGTCTGGGTGAGCAGCACGCCGCTAATGAGCTGGGGGAAAGAAAAAGAAGAGCATAGAGAATGGTTCAAGGCAGCCCAGTGGCACTGTGTATCCTACTGCATTGGTTTCCTTGACATTCCTATTGATATCGGCATTCTCATGCAACCCATAGACCTCCGGCTGGGGACTGAGCGGAAAACTGGACACATATTCAATCGAGTTGAGACGCGTGGGACTCAAGGGCACACGATAGTTGCCAGACTGGGACAGGGCATAGCTGTAAAAGAAGTCAATTAAAGATATACCAAAAGATAATGCTGATGCTTAGCCACGCACTTATCCTCCTCAATGGTTGTGGGATTGTAGATCATATTTAACAGCGACAGGATCAGGCGTCGATCCTTGTCATCGGTGACCCTGCCGCCGTAGTTGCACTCCCCCGTCAGATAGACATGGCCGCGGAAGGGAATGCTCTGGCTCTGTGTGATGAACATCTTCAATTGCAGCAGGGAGATCCTAAAAAGGGAGTGGGAATAGGCTATAGCTATGGACACATCACTCATGGGATGGCATTGACTCACTTTAAATCGGATTCATTGAACTCGTAGGGAATATTCCAGCCCAAGGGACCAAATTCACGTCGCTCCTGCACCACAGCGTGGAAGAAGACCAATGCAAAGACGCCACGGAGCCAGCATTTGTTGGCCGAGTCCGAGAAGAGGAAGGCATTCGTGAAAAACTTGTCACGCATGAGGGGATCCGAGGTGAAGGAGCGATGCATGTTCGCCCGCAGACCCTTGGGCGGTTCGTTTGTCATCTTCACGGAGTTCTGCAGCACCGAAACGGGAAACACAGAGCTGGGATACGAGGTGCACCACAGCCGATAGTCGGTGTGTGCGCCCTCCGTCAGGGTCGTATCATTGCAGATGCGCTCCAAGTCGCCCATCCAGCTGAAGGCGACGTGACAGTTCTGCAGGACAACCCACTGGCCGTGACGGGCCGCCTCCATAATCATCTTTTCAGCACGCGGTCCCTGGCCCTGACCCAGAGAGATGGTTTTCAATCTGTGCGGAGCAGAGCGGAGCACGGAGAATGGAGAACGGATGTGCTTAGCATAAAAATGTATCTTTAAAGTTGTGACAAGCAGGAGGAGGAGGAGGAGGAGGAGAAGCAACGGACAGCAGTAGCTGTTCTGCCCCAACCCCCCACACGTATAGACAAGGCGGCGCACATGTCGCGCTTAATCGAAAACATCACCAGCCACCTCTCTCTATCCTG